AGATGACGTCTTCTGATGATTTCATACATTTTTTAAGGCATCACATCATTGATCTCACACAGTGTTATGATAATGAGGAGATAAGATATGTGTACAGGGTTTGTGTAATATGTAAGAGATATCATAACATGACGTACTCCATGCTATCCTGACATTTTACTGTTTTGGAACCTGATAATAGATAACCTTCTAAAGATATCTGACAAATTGCAGATAAATACCTCACTAATCACTATACGTTATCTTGGTCCCCATTCTCAATGATGCATTCCTACTGTAAAATTCCCAATTTTAACATGATTATTTAAACGAAGGGCACACTTTTTTTTGGCTGAAAAATGCTTGTATGATGACAGCTTCACGTCAGTAAAACGTCTAAAAAACCCAAAAGTAATTATTACAGACAGAACACTTTCGTGTCATGACGTATGATGAGGTCATTTTACACTGTATTTAGAGTATTATGTTCAGATGTTCCTCTTTTCGTTATATTTGACACTGGTTTGAGTTACTGGTAGAGAGTCTAGACATCGTTTGTTCTATTCAATACACAGGTCTTTAATAACAGATCAAATTATATGATTTCCTTCTTGGCTCAGTTTTAGGTTCAGTCAACTGTAACATTTCCACCTGGAGCCATAAGTTACTCTTTTCAAGATTGTTCAATTAAAAATCGTCTCAAACAGTACATACATGATAACACAATCGAATGAATTTAAAATAAGTTTCAAATCTCCTTAAAAGGGTGTATCTTGTATGTGAGCTGTTGAGCTGTTCAAATCTAAATATACCTTTGTCGCCACCACCTGTAATAAAGCTGTAGAAATGTACAGTGTTTTAAATAATGCTTATTTTAAACTCCCAAATCCCAATAAAGCAATAACCTATACAATTATTCAATGTGACTAACTTTAACATGCAGGTCAGAGTGTTACGACGATACCAACTGTAGGATTCAACGTGGAGACAGTCACGTACAAGAACGTCAAGTTTAATGTCTGGGTGAGTGAAAGTGAAAGTTGTTCAAGATATTAAATTTATTCCGATTTCAACCTAATCTTGTTAGTTGTTACTGAGGCTAAGATAAATATGACCGTTATCAAGGCTACGTATAAGAATATAAGATCTCTTTCAACTTACGACATCACATGTTTTATTCTCACAAAGATAGTTTTGCGGCAACTGCGCCAAACAGGTTTATTCATTGACGGCTAGCTCACAAGACATACGTAATTACCATCAAAAGAATCGCCTTTGTTGCTAAAAATAGCAGATCATAAATCCTGTATGTTAATTTATAAGTGTCAAGGCTCAAAGCACTCAACAATTAGGAAAGTTCAAAGTCACCAGCAGCTCTGACAGTGTTCTAGTATGATTGTATATAGCACAGCTGTGTGTGTGATCTTGTGAACTATCTAGTTAGTGAACCGACAACCAGTCTGCTTAATCAGCATAATTAGACATAATTATGGTAATTAAAGAGATAATCATGGTGATTACAGAGGTAATTAGGGTTTATCAGAGGAGTAGTGATGATAGGAATATGATGGGAATCATGATTTATTCATGGTTACTGGTTATGTTCAGCTGTGGTATACACATTGTACGTGATGATCATTTTATGTCACTCTCGTCTCTCAACCATAAAGATTGCTTTATCATCTCTAAATAAAACCTTTGTTCGAGTAAACGACTGAATCAGTCCAACTACATTATCCAACAACTTTACATTATGTAAGTAGTTAAAAAACTGCACTGAATAGTGCAAGAAGAACACTGCAACAATACTCGCATGAGCACTGAGCAGTAACCCATTTGTTCTGTAATAAGCGGAAATGATAGGAAATGGTAGCTCAGTAACTTTACTGTGTGCTGTTAGATCTGTGTACCAATGTCACGTGTCACGCGGTGCTGCACTACTTGACTACAGCTACGAGACCAAATCCTGGCTGCTTGTTATTTGAGGTTTTCATCTGGAAATGAGATGCCACCTAACATGTGGCCAAGACATGCTGCCTGTAACATGCAGCCAGGACTGACTAAACCAGAAATAGATCTCACTGCTCCCAACCTTGTAGTTGTACCTATTATAGCTCATATTACTCAGTTGTAACCTTGTAGTTGTAACTACATATACATCTGCAATATGTATACTGTATAAACATTTTAACAAGTTAAGAGGTTACTTTAGGTAATGTAAATGTTGATGTGGTCCCATGTTTACATGAGATTTGTGTGTAATAAGGGACTACATTTACTTTACTCCCTATACCCCAGTATTGTAATATTACAGTATATTATTATTATAGCGTCTACATATTACAACACGTGACACAACATCAAGATGTATACTGTTTATACTATAGTTTACTACTACTACTACTACTACTATGTCGGAGCTAAGTCCGATCTACGCCAGAAAACCCCCTCCATATATCCCTGTCCCGCATCAGGGTTCGCAGTTCCTCTTTAGAGTTTGTCCCAACTTCCTTCAGTAACATAGACAAGTAGCTTTGTCTAGTTTAAATACTGTTAATAATGTTTATACTGTGTCGTCTGGTAGAAACTTCAGTTAAGTAAGCAGTTACATTACCCACGTCACAACGTATTAACAGTTAACAGTTAACAGTTCCACATGTGGTCTACTGCTGTAAACTTGGCAATTTGCTTGCAGTAATTGTAATGCAAATGTATTTTAAACTAATTACAACACTAGAAATCTATTGCATTTATTGAGTATTATGTAACGCGATGGAAATATTTTAAGCGGGTAATATCCTGTCCAAACCCAGGATACATAACATGAAGACTTTGTTGTAACTTGTATGAAAAGCATTAATATATACATATATATATATGTATATGTATGTTATATATAATATTACACGCACGTAATACAATAATTACTATCGCATTCGTCTGCGTTGCGAAGCAGGAAGTTCCTCGTTAGGGCCAATTAATGAGACATGTTAGTTTTATTGCAGTGTATTTAAGCGAGTAATGTTACATAACATTACTAGTATGTGACGTTAGGAAAATAAACTTGTTCGAAACATTCAGAAGCTGATGTTCTGCTAATTAAACAGGATAGACGCTCTGTCTGTCTGTCTGTATGTATGTATGTCCATACTTGTACATTGTACATGAATCTGTGTTTGTTTGTATGTACAGAAGTATAAGTGTTTAATACAAATAAAAGTAAAAGTGTGTACGACCAGGAAGAATATGAGAACATGATACCGTGTCGAGACACTAATTAAATATAAAAACATGTGTGTTTTGTAATGTTATTTGGCAGCTGTACAACCTTTTATACTTGCTTCATTGTAGAAATCACCCCATAAAAAGATGGTATTATTTGTACAATATTTCGTGGTTAGTTCACATCAATTAAATACATAAAAATACTATGTAGTGGTATAAGGTATTGCAGGTGTGGTAGTATTGCAAGTGTGGACTAGGCACTAGCACACGTACAATATAAAGATATACAGCATTATACAATATATTATATAATTTTATAACATACTGTAAGACAAATGACAATGAATCTAACAATGAATCTAACCAACTACGTATAAAAATGTCGACTAACAATCATCACATTCATAAAACATAGATCAACTGATCATGATCCTGGGTGATTGTTATTATCCTACATTCAACTTTTAGAAGGCTGGATTGTCATTTGTCTCACTCGACACTCTGTGATATTTCGAATGTTAATTTTAGATAAAAAAGAATCACACCGATCATTATACTATGATGGGTATGATATAACAGTACTATAATATATTATGATACACTATAGCTATAGTCAACTTCAGTATAAGTACACTGTACAGTGCTGTAACACAATGCAATATAATATGAGAATATGCAGTATTATCAATTATTATTATATACTACTAAAATATTAATAAACAGTACTAACTCGTCCTATAGTATACTGAGGTACCTTTCGAATACGTGACCAGCTTTCAGATACAGCAAACCTGTAGGAAATATTACAGATCAGTTGTTACCCCCGCTAAGTGTTGAACTACCCCGCTAAGTGAGGTACTACACCCACTGCTAATTATCTTATTAAAGTATTACAATATCATTACATTACCGGACAAATAACTTGCAGTTTCATAATCGGTGAAAATAACTGAAATTCCAGCGTTACACACACGTTTTTACACTATTACATTACCATTCTGGTGTACATGGAGTTAAAAACGTTCTCTGTAAACATTCGTCTATTTCACACTGTAACTTGTGTAGGGGTCGGAAAACTATTTATATACATTTTTATAATAATGATATGTTAATTGTTAATAATATGTTAATTGTTAATAATTGTTAATTGTTAACAGTATATAAAAGCTATATAAAGGTTTAAAGTTGTGGTGATGAATGTCTGGACAGTGTAAAGTACTGTAAGTTAATAATAGCATTGTGCAACAAGCCTTGTACGAGGATGATAGTGCGATTGTTCGCTATACTCTTACTGTTCATTACTCAGGACTATAGGATAGAATTTATTTGATATTCTGCGGAAATCCACTTAAGTACTAAAATTATGTCAAGATATTAAGACGTCATACAATTTTAAGTGGAATGATATAAAATGTTGGACCACTGATTTTCCTGGAAATTGTGATGAATCTAAAGTCGGTTGAACTGTGATTCTGTTAACGGATTATATGCTGGTCTATAAATAGCACGTGTAGATACACAGACTCTAATCAGTTCACATGTAAGCTTCAGCCGCGCTAATTTTCTCAGATTATCCTTAAAACAGTGCAGTGTATTACCATGTGATCTGTTTTAATACTCAGATTACTTCGTTTTATTGTTTCCGTTTAAGATCGTTCCGTGACGTCATTCGAAGTGTGACTGTTTTGAAGCTGTTGTGAACAAAGATACTTATTGTACTAATATAACAAGATTTCAAGAAATACTGACTATTGGACATTCCGAACATTTTGGCGCCGTAAGAAAGTTAAAAGTATTATCATTGTTTTTGAATGTCCTATGATGATAGCAATAGGGTAAGCGGCTAAATGCCTATCATATTATAATAACTTAAATTCAACGTGAAGCAGAACTCGCCGTACCATAAACCCTGGTTAAGTATCAGTACACTTGGTTAAACCCTGGTTTAACTTTACAGAAACGAGCTAGCTGCTAGACTAATGACGGATTAATTAAATCCTTATCTCATGCAGTCTGCTGTAACCTTTACAGTGAAAATACTCTGAAATGAGGAAGAGAATTTGAAACTTGATACTTTTCTGGAGATCATCAGATTGGACTGGATTATCAGAATTATATTCGTGTTCCGTGTTCTGTATTGCGTCATTGTACGTATGATGTGTTATTATAGCAACACACGTGTATTGACATAGGATACAAGCAGGATCTTACTTCTGAGGAATTTTAAGAAAATGCCTTTCCCTGGCCCCTCACCCATTAATAGATGTCAACATGAACTTGAACTGTGCTTAATGTTTTATATATTTTGCTCGGTATTTTACGAAGACGCACGTGCAATACACTAACACGTGCAATACACTAACACGTACAATACACTAACACATGCAATACACTAACACGTGCAATAAATTAACACGTGCAATACACTAACATGTACAATACACTAACACGTACAATACACTAACACGTTTAATACACTAACACGTGCGTCGTGCAATACACTAACATGTACAATACACTATTGTATATCACTATACAGTTCCTCTTTAGAAAAAGTGCATGTGACAAGTAACGAGACAAGGATGCTCTAGGATCAGGAGCGACAAATGATCAATTGTTCTAGACGTGAGGCTTTCTGCAGTAACGGCCCTAGCGAACAGGGGGATGGTTGTTCGCTTGAGTACTATGATGCGGTTATACAAGTCTGGCAAAACAATTTGTGACCTGCCTATTGGCCGGGCGCCGCCGTAGACTCAACACATGGTGTGTGGGGTATTTACCTCGGGCACACACCTTAA